TATAGCCTAGGTTAGCCTCACATTCACTTTGGGAGACTGGCTATGAATACCTGATCCTCCTCCCATCTCTGTCTCCTAAGGATTACTGGTGTGAGTGATCATGCCTGTCCATTTTTTATTGTTACAAATAAATAGTTTCAGTTCTATGTATTAGTGTATTTAATTTTCACCTAAATTATATTTATAATTTTTTATTATAGCAAGCTTAATATATATGATTATATATGATATATGTGATTAAGTTTGCTATAACTAAAGGTTGTAAATATAATATAAATATATATTTATATATAAATATAAAATAAGTACATATATATATTCCCCATCTTTAAGTTTCATCTTCCACAAATTTTCTTTTGGCATACTTGAACCTTCTGGTTTTGTTCTCACTTTTCCCATTTTGGAAAAATCCTTTACTTAGTATAATACTTTATCATTTAAAAATCTTTTCTAACCTAAAAACATTTTCTTTTTCTTTTTTAAACTGAAAAGAGTCTTTCTTTTTTTTTCCTCCTTGGGTACTGAAGAGTGAGTCCAGGTCCTAGAACATGCTAGGCATGTTCTACATGTGCTACACCTTCAGGTTTTCTCTTACTTGATAGTTTGAGCCAAGGTCTCAATTGCATGCCCAAGCTGGCCTTGAACCCCCCTTCTATAGTCCACCCAATCCTTGAACTGTACTTCTCCTGAAACAGCATCCTGAGCAGCTAGAATCAGAGACCTTCATCACCAGCCCAGCAAAAACACATTTTTTAGGGCAGGAGAGATGGCTCAGCAGTTAAGAGAGCTTGCTGCTCTTCCAGAGGACCTGAGTTCAATTCGCAGCACCCATGGCAGGTAGCTCATAATTGCTTTTAACTCCATCTCCAGGGGAATCTGAAGCCACTGGCCACTGCAGACACTTTCTCTCTCTCTCTCTCTCTCTCTCTCTCTCTCTCTCTCTCTCTCTCTCTCTCTCTCTCTCTCCCACACACACACACACACACACACACACACACACACACACACACGGTTTTCACACACAGGGTTTTCATCAAAGGTTTTTATGTCTGTTTTTCATACTTCAAGATTCCTTTCTTTTTCTTTTTTGTATTTTTTTTTTTTGTCCTATGGGGTTTTATTTAGGAGGGTGCAGTGAAAACAGTCCAACTGGTTAAGATGATTGCTGCCATGCCTGTTGACTTAAGTTTGATCCCCAGGAGAGAACTGACTCCCACAAGTTGTCCTCTCATAGTCGAACATGTGTGTGTAAGGTCACATATATAAAGAAATAAATGTAAAATTAGAACATTTTTTAAATGTGTTAACAGTTCCAGAGGCATTTTTATCTTAGCAACAAATTATAATTAATTTATTAGATTTATTTAAGTTTTACTGAATTAAAAGGAATTTGGACTAAGGTTATGTGTGCACTTACTTAGAAATGAATTTAAATTAAACTATTTTGGGGGAGACTTTATTATGTAAACATCATATGATATATCTAATGGTAGCATACAGAAGCATATATACTAATAAGCCAATATAATAAAAACTTTATGTCAAAACTTAATTATAAGAAAAAGCAAAATAATTTTACCAATTTAAAAGTAAAGTAAATTCAAATATATAACAGAATTTAATAAATGCAGACCACCAATTATTTATCTGGCCAAACCTTTATTGTTGTTGTTACTCAAGAAAACCCCATCACTGCATAAAATTTAGAATGCTTCACTCTTATGCATTCTTCTTAGAACCCAGCCACCAGTTTGAGTGTGTGTGTGTGTGTGTGTGTGTGTGTGTGTGTGTGTGTGTGTGTGACTAAGACCTGAACGGAGGGCTCAGCATCAGCCCTGATAATTACTCTTGGTGTAGGGTAAGTTGAGATAGCAACCTTGAATAGCCGTCTTATTAATGAGAAGCAAACCCAAGTTTGAGACATGGTAGACAGGAAGGAATTGTCAGGCCAGGAATGAATACATTCATTCTTTAGAAAGGTTTGTTGAGTATGCTGCAAAGGGGCAATAGGCTAGGCAATAGCAAGTCACTGCAGCATAACAGAGTATTGAAACAATGCTTTGGGGGAGAATGTCTGTGTTGGAGGGGTCTTGTGGTGAATTATTTTGTATGTAGTTTCCTGGCATGTAATCCCTGCTTTGCCAATGTGGGTGTTATTGGAATTTTTAGGATCAAAGCCTGGGCCCTGGCAGTTCTAACAAACTAAGCTCAGCTACTCATCATGAATATGCCAATTAAAGGGTTGGGGAGAGAAATGACTCAGCAGTTAAGAGCACTTGCTGCTCTTGCAGAGGACTGGGTTTAGTTCCCAACACCCATATAGGGGAGTTCACAGCTTTCTGTAACTCCAGTTCCATGGGATCCAACACCCTCTTCTGGCCTCTGTGGACATCTGTGTGCACACAGTTGACATGTATACACTCAAGCACAAACACATATACATAAAATAAAAGGAAACACATTTTTCTTAAAAAGAGGGAGAGGTAATAGAGGAAGTCAGAGAAAGGAGATTCTTTTAATGTGACCACATTAGGAAGAAGAACAGACCAACAGGTCCAGTGGTTCCAGAGTCCATCTTCAGGACCCTGACCTGGCTTGATCTTTAGAGGGGAAGAGGTATGCATAAGTAATCAGTCCAGGTCATGACAACCATTAACCCATCATTGTCTCAATCTTTTCCTTCTCCCAGTCTGAGATTTGGTGTGTGTGTGTGGAGGGGATCCCAACTTCTTGGGGTCCATTGTTTCAATACTCTATTAGTCAAAGGGAGGGACACAAGTGTCTTTCTAGAATATATTCATTCTTGTTTTTACATCCTAATATTGAGATGAACTATACCTGTGTCTGCAACAATTGTCATAAGCAGAATTTATGTAGGATCCAAAGTCAGAAAATACCCTGGTCATGTAACCATGCATAAGAACCATTTCTCCACAACGTCTTGACTTTAGTTACTTTTGGAAGGACTCCGTTCCAAAAGCGACTCAACTTTTGCTGTGGACTTTGAGACAGGACCTTGCTATACAGTATAGTCTAGGCCAAACCTCAAACTTAAAATCTTCATACTTAGCCTCTCAGATACTGCAGTGGTGAACAAGGACCACTATGTGTGACATTTGTTTGTTCCCGCTCTGGAAATGCTCTCCTTCTCTCTAAACATTCTCTGAAGACATCACTGATTATCCACCCAGTGATTTGATTCCAACTGTCCCTCATCACCAGGAGGAGATCTGTTATGGTTAGTCTGATATGATTCAACCGTTGTTGGAGTAACAAATGTCAAGAAATTACTATCAACAAAATCCTTTATGGCCAATTTTAAGCAACTAAAAGAGTCCTAATGTGTAGCTCTGGTTGTCCTGCCTCTGCCTCTGGAATGTTGGAATTAAAGATATGCACTACCACACCTGGCTCTAAGAGCAAATATTTAAAGAAACTAATTTGAATATTAAGTACTTGTTTAGAGATATACCCCTTAAATGATAAATGTCAAATATCTTTTGTGAGGAAGTAACATTTGGAGTGCACAAGGTTAGGACAGTCTAATTATCTTTAAAGAGAATTGCAATGGTATATAAACATAAACCATAAACACAAACATTAACACACTAACAATTCTAATTGGGTGGCTACCAGCTTGATTAAAGGTTTTCCTTAGCTTTGCATCTTAGAAGGCTTATATAATATACTTATTTTAAAAAAAAGCTGGCAACAATTAGCATTGGTGAAAACAGGAGAAAAATAAACTATCAGGCAGTTGAGAGGCAAGGGCCTCAAAACTCAGTAGTTCTGTGTTTTTATCTTGGCCAGAGGCCAGAAATGCTAAATGTACTTAGGAACACTGGCTACAGTTTCTTGTTATTTTTCCTCTCATTATAGATAGCAATGAGCATAACTTCGTAGAAACTATGTATGAGGGCATGACCTAAATTCCAATCTGGACACAGACTATCTGAATGGAGAGACATATGGACATCTCCTGGGTAGGACACCTGGACCAAGCAGCTCATACCTCAATCTGGTCAAGTTCTGTTAACCCCCAGATAGGCATTCTCGGTAATAAACCATCCTTGGGACCTGCTCTTGAAGGAGCTCAGTTTGCTTCCTATTTTTTTTCTCACTTTTCAAGATTTATTCATTTGTGTATGCATCTCTCTGTGTGCACATGCGTATCTGGGTGCTTCTTACATCTTAAACTCTCACCTATGAACCTATGATAAAGTCTTTTCTAAAAATCCATCCTCCTGTTGCCCAAGAAATTCATCCATTGACTTCATTAGACAAAAGATTCAGAAATCACTGGCCTGTGGTGACTTTGGTTGTCATTGACTGTCTGGGGGGGGGGGACCCTTGCCCCCAAGTTAATGATCATCTAAGGTGAGAAAACCCCTGTCACAATCATAAGGATTCTGGCTTTATCTCCAATATCCCTGATTAATATTACTACACACAAAAGTCCTTTACATAATAACTCAACTTATACTTTGGAAGCAAAATTTAGAATCTTTGAATCAGTAGCCTAGTGGCTCCTCCTAGAAATATACCATTTAACTAACATGAAAACAATGTTCCATGTGTACTTGAAAAAAAAAAGGTCTTAAATATCTCACTTTGGGGTGGGAAGGACATATTTTGAGCACACCTACAAATGTATTCTTTATTCCAAAACACCGAGAAGCTTTTGATCTAATTTAATGTTTGTAACTTCGTTATTTTGTGATTCAACCTGGGTGGGCTCTTTTGAGTCCACACTCTACCCTGCCTGGATACTTTCTTTTGAAATTCTGCCCCACAAAAACAAAGGGCTGCTGGGTAAGGAGCACCCCGGACTGAGACATAAATCCTTCTTAGGGTTAGTAGACCCTGAAGAAATGGGTGTTCTTTTCAGCCTCAGTAAGGGAAACTTGGGTCCTGTCACGTAGAAGGTTCCCTTCATAGTACAGAATCCGCTTAGTGACGCTTTGGTAACAAAGGAATCCTGTCATAAAGGGCGGGGCAGGGTAGGCACAGTTGCCAAGGCTCCCTGAGGTCAGGAGCCTCTCCTCCAGTTTATCTCCCGCGTTCTGCAGCACTGTGGATCGCCTCCATACTGCATGTCATGTCCTTACCACATGTCATGACTCCACTGGGCTTCTGCTTCTGCGCCCCAAGTCTTATCCTCACCGGACAGGTTTTGCTGGTGGTGACCCAGGCCGAACCCATTGCGGAGTGGGTCCATAAGCCAGTTCGGTTGACTTCAGAGCCCTGGGGGCCGACCAAGCTCCGGTCTTGGCACCCTTCTGATCATCGGCCCAAATCCCCGAAAGCTCATACATCCCAGGCAGGTGCAGGGGACTTTAATTACCTGGGGTCCTCTCCTCCCTCCCAGATGTTCTCCCCATCCCGGAAGTTGAAGGACAGTTTTCTTTCATTCCAAGAGAAGGATACCTCTGCGCAGCCGCACCCAGAGTCAGATCAGTTCACTGTTCCACATCAGCGTCTGACCAACAAAATGACTCCACCCAGGAAGCTGCCAGGGAACATTTTAAAACTAAATGGGGATCAAAATCAGCCTCCACAATTTAAAAGTATTTCCAGTGTGGATCAGGCTGCAGATAACCAGTTATATGACATACTTGTTCCACCACTAGACAGCAAGAGTTCGGGAGTAACAAAGTTCATAGTTTCACTCCAGGACTTGAAGAAAGATCTAGCTCAGCACAAGAAACTTTCTAAGGTGGTTGTTGGAACTACAAACCAACTTGTAAAACCTCAACTGCAGAACAAAACTGTGGAGGATGATTATGGGGACCAAAGTATGACTGAAGCCAATTCGGACAGCTTACCTGTGCAATCCCAGGAAAACAGAAAGGAGCCTCCAGAGCCTTCTGAGCAGGCTGAACCTCCTGAATACCAACTGGAGGCACAAACCCAAGATTCAGAGAATCTGGGTGTGGTTCAAGAAGGTCCAAATCGTCTCCCACTGCTCCCTGAGGAAAATGAACCTCAGAAGGAAGAATCAGTTCCTCAGTTCGTTTCTGAGATTGCAGCGTTAGAGCCACCTGAAATAAATGGTCCGTCTCTGGATAGAAATAAAGCTCAGCATTCAAACTTGCCAAATGTCACAGTGAAGCCTGAAGATCTGGAGGTTACAGTGTCAGAGGCAGATAAGGAGACTCAACAAACTTTGAGCCAGCAGCAGGTCCCGGGCCATCTTCCAGAAAGTCCTGAGTTGGTAGAATCTTCATTAACCCAACAAGAGGCCCCCGTCCAGCTTTCAGAGGATCTTGAGGAGGTAGCACCTTCGTTAATCCAACAGGAGGCCGAAGCTCCAAATCCGGAGCTCTCTCAGGAGTTAGAGCCTTCATTATCCCAACAGGAGTCCTTAGCTCCAATTCCAGAGCTCTCTGAGTTTTTGGAGCCGTCATCAACCCAAGAAGAGGCCCTAGATGAGATTTTAGAGCTTCCTGAAGCCCTTGAAACTTCTGATAGCCAGATAGAAGTTCCAGCTCTTCCTACAAAGCCCTATGAAGAAGTCAATCCTCCGGTTGAGCAAGAGGCTCCAGTTCCAACTCCAGAATCCTCTATGGAGAGTGTAGTTGGAGCTCCAGCAGCAACAGTTCCACATCCCAGTCAGAATCAAGTTCACCATTACACTTTGCACAGGACTACAGTCAAACCTGTAGATGTGACAGTTACAATAACTTCTCGGCCTTTTAAGGAGGTTGGAATGTCTCCAGTTCAGGAGGAGATTCCAACTCAAACTCCAGGTCCTCTTGTACAAGCTGAACATTTTCCTAGCTTGGAGCAGCAGCCAGCTGAACTTTCTGAATCTCCAGAGGAGGTTGATTCATCTGAAAGTGGTCTGGAAGACCAAATTCAGCCGCCAGAGGAAGCTGAGGAAGAAGAGGAGGAGCCTTCTCCAATCCAGCAGGAAGTCCAATCAGAGCATCCAGGCCCTCTTCTGGAGGATGAGTCTTTTCCTATAGAACTAGAGCAGCCAGCTCAACCTTCTGAGTTTCTTGAGGAGGAAGGATTGGGTTCTGGAAACCATCCAGAAGCCTTCATTGCACCTGCAGAGCTCCCTGAGGAAGCCAAGCCTCCAATCAAGCTACCAGCTCCACTGCAAGCTCCAGAGTCCACTGTGGGAAATGTGGATGAAATTCCACCAGTTCACCAAGTGACAGTCCAGCCAACTCAGAGTGAAGAGCACCATTATCAGTTGCCAAATGTTACAGTTAGACCTGTGGATGTGACACTTACCATAACTTCAGAACCTACCAAGGAGATGGAATCTTCTCTGACCCAGCAGGAGTCCCCAGTGCATCCTCTAGAGAATGCTGAAGAGACAGAACCTTTTCTCAGTGAGCAGCCACAGCCGGCTCAGGCCTCTGAGCTGGAAATTCCGACTCAATCCTCAGAACACGCTCTAATCCAACAAGAACAAGCAACCCAGTCTTCAGAACATCATGAAGTGACAGTTTCACCCTTGACTCACCATTCAAGCTTATCCACTACAACTGTTAATCCCCCAGATGTGCTACTTACCATAACACAAGAACCCACAGCAGAGGTGGTACCTCCCCCAGTACATCATGAGACTATAGCTAAACCATTTACAGTCCCAGAAAAGGATGTAGACACTTCTACAGCCCAGTATACCAATCCAGCTATAACTCCAGAGGCTTCTGATGGGGTTGAACTCTTGTCAAATCAACATGAGGCTTCAGTTCAATCACTAGAACCTGTTCAGTATGAAAAGCCTTCTCTAAGCCAGCAGGAGGACACAGATGAGGAGTCAGAGCTCCAAGAGGAAACTGAACCTTCTTCAGCCCAGCAGGAGACCTCAGTGCAACCTCTAGACCTCCCTCATGAAACAGTAGTTCAACCTCTAGCACACCATGAGGCAACAGGTTCTAATCTGGTTCATAGTCAAGTTCATCCTCTAGCATCGTACAATGCCACAGCTAAGCCTCCAGAGTTGATTAATGAGGTTGAAACTTCAAGCCAACAGGGGTTTGAACCTTCAAAAGAACAACAAGAAGAAGTTACAACTCAGCATCCACCCACCCCTGAAAATCAACATTCTCCAGGGGTCCCAACCCAGCCTGAAGAGCTTCTTGGGGAAGTTTCTTCAGGTCAGCAGGGGAACTTGTCTCCACCCCTAAAGCACCCTTTGGATACAGAATTTTTACCGTATCAGCAAGAACTCCCAGATCAGTCTCTAGAACCACCTAAAGAGGGCTTCTTTCTTTCTCCAGTGGGAGATACCCTGTTCTTTTCACCTGAAGATCTAGAAGCAATATTCAGATATGAGCATTCAATGTTGCGTAAAACCACAGTTAAACATCCAAACCAAGCACATACCAGAGCTCCAGAGTCTTCTATGGGAGTTAAATCTCTTCAGGTTCAGGAGGAGGACCTAGTTCAGCCTATAGTTCCCACTGAACAAGTTGAATTTTCACAAGTCCAATTTGACTCCCCTTCCCATACACCAGGATTCCCTGAAACGGAATTTTCTCCCCAAGAGGCCATAGCTCAGAAAACAGACCTCCACAAAGAAGTCTATCCTTTCCCAACTCAACGGGAAGGCCCATATCTACCTCCAGATTCCACTATGGGTTCAGAACTTTCTCCAGCTCAGCATATGACCCGCTCTCAACTTGCAGACCTCTCTGAGAATGTGGAACCATCTCCAGTGCTGCAGCCCACCCTCACACAGGCTCCAGAACCCCCTAAGGAGATAGACCGTTCTCCAACCCAGCAAGCAGTCCCACACCAGCTTCCAGATTCAATGAACAATATTGTAACTCACCTTCCAACACATCAGATGATAGTCCCAACACCAGGTCAGATTCAAGCTGAGTATCCAACATCATCCTCTATCTCCTTTCACCCTTTGGACCTGGAACTTCACCCCATAACTTCACCACATACTACAGAGGCAGACCACACTACTGTACAAAAAAGTACTACACCTCAGGTGACATTTCCACATCAGACTCAGCATCTAAACCCAACTGAAGTGACAGTTCAACCTTTGGATTTGGGACTTACCATAACTCCACAACCGACTCCCGAGGAACTTTCTCAAACTATACCAGAGAGCACAACTCATCTTACAGAGCCACTTGTGTCTCCAGTCCCAATATATCAGGAGGTGACAGTTCCAACACCAGGTCCACCTACAGAAGTTTTAGCTCCAGCCCCAATATACCAAGAGGTGGCAATTCCAACACTAGGTCAGGATCAAGCTGATACAACAACACATGTTGTCTCATTTCATTCTTTGGACTTGGGACTCACCACAACTTCAGAAACTACCAGAGAGCCTCAGCCTCCTATAATCCCACAGGAGACTATAGTTCTTCCTCCAAAGCCCCCTCATATTCAACCTTTGGATCTGGAACTTACTATAACTCATCAACCAACTCCTGAGGAACTTTCTCAAACTACACCAGAGAGTACAACTCATCTTACAGAACCACTTACAGAAGTTTTAGCTCCA